TAAACCATAAACCCTAAAACCCCTTACCCTCAACCTTAAACCCTAAACCCAAAACCCCTAAACCCCTAAACCCCCAAACCCTAAACCCGAACACGACCATCCTGCAGCACGTCCAGAGCGGCATCCTGCGCCTGAAGCTTCGTTGCTGCATCTGTGTACGCCGGCGCCACTCTGGCGAGTTCCTCGAGGACCTTCCGCAAGTCCGCAGCCGCCTTGGCTTTCTCCTCTGCTGCTTTCTGCCGGATGTTCTGACAGGCTTCCATCTGCAGCTTCCTGGTAGCCAGGTGATCTGTCAAACTCTGAGACACGTTGTCAAGCTCAGTCTTGTCGACAGCCGTTTTTTCTTCACTCTTCTTGAAGGCCTCAGCTACTGCCGCAGCTGCGCAAATGTCCTCCAGTTTCATGGGCCTCTTGCTCGCACTCAGAATCGTATCCGCAACTTCTGAACATTTTGCTCGTCGGTCTGCTATCCGGGAGCGCGCGATCTCCCGAAAGGCTGCGGATTTCTGATCACCGCTCATGTTCTTTACGACATCTGCTGCATGCACAGACTGGAGAACTTCGTTGCGAGACTTGCCCTGATCCGGGTCAAGGTCGAGAAGCATGTGCGTGCGACTCTTGACATACTTAAGCTTTCGGCGAAGATCCAACAGAGCTTTCTCCTCAGCTCCTGGATCCTGCCCCAGCGCAGCAGCCTTAACACTGTTGATGCGTGCTGTCTCTGCTTCTGCTTTTGCCTTGTTAGCCATCTTGAGCACAAGGGCAGCCCTTCCTGTCGCCTGGATGCCCTCGACACTCACAGTATCGGGGGAAAACTTGAAGCCGCTCAAGGCGCATGGATCATCTGTCGTTCCGTGTTGAGAGTGGTACGTCACCAATGCCTCCACCACTTGCTGCTTTGTCAGGCTTCGTTGCTCGCCTTTTGCTAGGGCTTCATTCACCTTGCCGGCAAAAGCAAAAATAAGCGAAAGCTACACATGCCTGGCTGCTCAAACTGGAATGCGGCGACACGACTCACACAAAGACCACATCTCCCGCCTGCTTCTCGAAATGAGCCACTGTTTGAACCATCGACGAGGCTCCCTCCATGATCTCATCCCAAGCCTTCGGCAAGGCCATGGCAGTCTTGGCGGATCCGGACTTTTCTACAGGCCGTGTCTTGGCTTGAAGCTACCAGGGCTGCAAGATCTGTCCACGTGGGCGAGCAGGTGCATCTCGTGTGCTCACAGAAGTGGGCTATTTAACCTGTTCGTCGAAAGTTGTTTCGAATCAGCTGCAGGTCCTCCCCACTTCGCAAACAGAACACACCACAAGAGCACGTTCCGAGGTCTCCTGGGTTTCGCATCTTTTTAAAATCCGCGCAGCATGCATCGTGAGATAGATGTTGCACGCTTATGCCAGCTCGGATGAGCAAGTGTGGACACGAAGAGACCTGACAGGGGTCCGAACCACAATGCTACTTTAAGATAAACGGGTTGGTTCCCTAGTGCATCACGAGACAGAGACCTGAATTTGAAGAACGCTCTGAAGGTTTGCATCACATCATGGAGTGCAATGGCAAGTCCTCAAATCCCTCCCTCCATCAGCCTTCCCAAGCCCTTGCTCGAATTGCTATACACCCGAAGATGCTCCAAACCTTCCGTTCCTGCGGCATGGGTCCGGCAACCCGAAACCCTAAACCCTAAACCGAAAAATCCTAAACCTAAACCCTAAAA